CTCGGGCTCGTCCATCGCGAGAATGGGGACGGGTTGGAATGCCTTTTCGGCTGGCGCAAGAGCCGCCCATGGAAAGCAGACGGCCCGATCAAGGCATCACGGCTTTGGAGGATATCCCGTCGGCAGACCCGCTGCCGTCGCGGCCGTGTTGGCACATATTGGTGAACCACGCCCACATGTCGACCTTACAAACCGGATTGCTAGTGTCGCAGTTCTCGAATAAGGTGCTGCGTGGAGGGTGATGGTTGTCTTCTGCGCACGCTACTGTGTGGTGCTTTGAGAAGGCAATCGAAAATCTCGCCGACGAGTCGGAACCGAGCTTACATCCGGCCGGCACAACCAGATCCTGGCCTCTTCTTTTCTACAACCCTGTCTTGGCAACTGCGATTTTGACGAAGGCGTCGACGGCAATATCTTCAACACCATGCGTGTGATATTTTCAATATCTATCCGGACCGGCTTCGGAGGCATCTTACGCAATGCCGGGCCTCGGTTGATGAAGTGTGGGCTATCTTGGTCCTTTCGGACTCGCACCGTCGGAGCCGTCCACTATACTCATATATTAAGCCGGAATATAGGCAGGTTTTCAACAAACACGGCGAGTCAAGACACACTATCAGCTAGTATGCAAACATCGGATTGTGCGTCGCGTATTGACAAAAAGTCCAACAACACGCAAGCTCATGGCACGGCGTGGCAAAGTTGATGACGTGCCTCAATCTTTCGACTTACGCTCTGCGCAGAAAGCTCTATCGAATCACCTTTTGGGCGGTCTTGAGAGGCTGACAGGCGAAGGGACCATAAGTTCGAGATTTTGGCCCCCAAAGCAGTCGAGTCCGGGTCCTGTTCAAACCCGCCATATCCCCGTTGGCGCTTGCGTCGCCCCCATCACGAACTCCACCAGCGCACGATCTAAGTGATGAACCCCACTGCCGAAGACTAAGAGTTCATCAAAGTAGATTATAATGACGATTCGAATAACGCCGTGAGTGTTGGCGATATGATGGTTTACTGGAATAGAAGCCTGGATGTCTGGAGCGCATGCATCTCCGGGCTTCCTTGTGGCCTCAGCGAACCATCAATTAGGGTGATTGATTCGGGTGACGATGGCTTGCCGCACAAGTGTCCGAGTCTTGAGATTGATACTCGGGTGAGAGATATAGCATGGCGTGAGATGCAAATTGTTCCAATATCCTTCGTTCGTTGAGACGTAAAAGACGCCTTCTTGGTCCTCCATTGTGATGACCACCGTGTAAATTTATTGAAGGCGTGCTGTGGCGCCCCACTAGAGCGTGTTACGATGGCTTCTACAGAACTCGACCATGTTGCCTGACCTTTCTTCCCTCGTATCTTACTGGACGTCGATGGCTGGAGATTGGGTGAGATTGGGCACCTCTTGCGGTAGCGTAGAGGGCTTTGGCCGTATTCTGGTAACATGCCAAATCCATGTGCAAGCCGATGACCTGTACCTCGCAATCGACATAGGCAGGAGGTTTCTTTCGCATTGAAATTCCCGCATTTGTAATGCACCTTGTGGTTGTGAACATCACAGTTCAGGTTGACTCCTTTGAGCGTGGTCGTCGTACGAGAGACGTCTTCACTATGTCGGATACCTGCTTCGCCCTTCATCTGATGCGTCAGGAGCATTAGTCGTAAATCCCGTCTGGACTTCAGATCAGTAGAATCATCCCAAAACCCCATCAGTCCAGTGAACGTCGTCCCCGGCGATCCTGCTGGGACGTCATCTTGGCCCATTGAACCAGCCAGCGGCGCCCGAACAACGATCGGCATGCTCTCCCGCGGCAGCATACGACATCTCGCAGCCGATCTGCCGCCGGAAGTCTCATTCATTTTTCAGGTTCATGTTTCTCCAGCTTCGTTAGATTCGCCTATTGTGGTGTTTGAACGACGACGTTGCTCGGGACACGTGCTGACACACTCACGCCCACATACCGGTAGATCAGAAGCCCCAGCTACTCGCCCTACAGGCGAGCCTCTCGCTGCTCACTGGTCGGCTGGGTCAGACGCAGAAACACGAGAACGGCACAGAAACTTGCCCTCATTCGAGAACCCGTCTCCCCGTCTCCGAGAGCATCGCACTACGGAGAATATTTTTCTCTCACCCACGTCGGGGCGGGTGTCCACCATGCAGATCATCCGTTACCCAAACGTCGTCACGACGGGCTGTTCCTGCTGCGCTGACGAGGCAAACTGCAGGCCGGGGAATCTGCCCGGCAGTGGGACCGTTTGACGCGGTGTTCGGTATGGGTTGCCGAGCAAGAGAGAGAAGCGAGGCGAGAGGCCTGGTGTTACAGCAGGGTGGTATCGGGTGGTTTTACATCGATAAATGGCACGGATGAGACCGATTGGCTCCGCATCGGTGTTGCGTCATGGGCGTGGGGAAGATAGGCGCCTCTTGAGAGAGAGAGAGCCGTGATGTGGTTGGTGAATGGGATTTTGGTGATTTGAGTTCTCTTGGGATGCGGCACTGGGCGTCGTCGGATGTGACGAGGGTGGTGTGCGAAAGGCAGGATGCGGTAGCATCTAAGGACGATCGCGGTTGGCGCTGGGGAACTTGAGGCGGTTTTGGATGTTCGCCAAGGCTAGAATTGCCGATCATGGCTGGGTTGGAGCGGTTTCTAGAAGTCCCAGGTAAGTTCTGAAAAGGGCCCCGCAACGAAGAGATCCCTGGTCTTGTTCTGATACTGCTTGATGCCTTGGAGAGCTTCCTGGAAGTGAGTATCTGACAAGAGGACGACAGGTGAACCTTTCAGGGCGGGCATCCTGAAATATTAGATAGATGGGGTTTGCTTTATTGAGAGATATGAGAGATGCGGATGGAAGAGCATTGGGAATGATATGGGTAATGCAGCGCTCAATTCATTCGCACACAAGGGGTCTACTCAATGGTAAAACTCAGATATATCTGCAAAGTTTGAATACTCATCTCATCAACGTCATTCTTTTTAGATTCGTTATACAGTAGAGGAAGAAATATTTCTGTAAAGTGAGATAGAACATGCTTCGTGCTTGAATATAGATGAATCTATGTGAGATTTGCTCATCTCTATATCTCTCATGTTCGTTCCGATATTGAACTCTTTTGAGACGTTTTGCCTCCTAAATCGAGCACAAACTACATGATCTTCACGTGCGCGAGTCACATCTTAACCCGCCTTCCAGTTGTACACGACTAGCACTCATTCACTCACTCACTTGGGTCGTCAACTTCAGATCATGTGCCAATCAAGTCAAATCTTAGGCTTCTATCCATGTTTAACCTCATCAAGGTTGTTTTCATGCCATCAGGGAAGTCGAGCTGACCTCGCATATGATCACTGGTAGCGTGATGAGAAGTGGTTCTACAAAGAAAGGAATACAAGTCAATGTACTAAGCCTAGTCATTCTCTGACCCTTTCAAGTAATTCAAGCTATGTCATAGCCCGCCCGTTGAAGGATAGTGCTGTGCTCACTCAAGTATTTCACATTCCCCACTTGAGCACCTGACTTACCACTTTTAATCCATAGAAGTATTTAATATGAAGAACTTGATCTTCTTGAATATAAGTGAAGAACACTAAAGCCATTGCTAGAGAGATCTGCTGGTTGCAGTCTCTCATCGAGCCTATATACTATCAAGGTTCTTGACCTTGCCGCGTGAGAGGCGGCTTCCCATTCTCATGTGAGCCCGTCGAAATTGTCATCCGTTTTACTGATGGAAAAGTCCTAGCATCAAACAAAAGGACACGGGCTCAGCAGATCGTCTCGCGTGAGCTACGACGAGCATCTATCTTTCCAGAAACATAAAGAAGAGTTAATCCAGGTGATCGTACAACGTTAAGCGACACCTTCAGGAGGTGTAACTAGAATCTGATGGCTCACATAGACACAATATGATGTTAGGCACTTTCAAGATAAATACAAACGAAGCGACGAGAATCTCAGCCAGATCGCTATTAGAAGTCGATAATTTGTCGAAGACTCTATGACCTGTAGGCCTTGAAGCAAGTACGCTTTGATATAGAGGGATGTACGTGACTAGAATATCCCTAGAAGAGATAAGCAGCATCTTAAAGTACACTTTGAATCTCCAATGAACAACAGAAATAGCGTACTTTTCTTCGGCCCAGGTGGTGATGCGACATTCATTCTTCCTCCACTACGTAACGCTGTTTAGATATCTCGATGTTCAGTATCTAGTTAAGTCTCACAAAGATGTAAGCGGTTGCTACTACCCACGGCACCAACACCAGCTCCTCCTGTGATGCTAGCACAGAATCGACCGTTGTAACATGATGTACGTGACGATGAAAGGGCTCCCTTGAAAAGTCGAAGTCTCTCCCATCGCACACTCACGATACTCATAGTTCATCACATGTCTCGGCTACAACAGTCTTTCAATACATCAGATCGCTGTCACCTTCATCATCTCCCTAACGCAGTCCGCCATCGGCCGGGGAGGTCAAGCCGTGGGGGCGGGCAACGCTCATTGTCTTACACAAAAGACGAAAGCTTCAGCGGGAGAAAGCTTATCATGAGGCAATCAGGGAACCCTTCATCAAGGATATCCCGGAACTGCGAAAATACCATCTATGAAACACACGAGCTCCAGCCACATCGGCAGGATTCAGATATGAGGTGATGATTGACATCAGCGTGCCACGGAAGCCGAGTAGCAATCCTCCTAGCATGCTGCAGAAAATACGTCCGAGAGAATGAGCAGAACATCAGGTGTCACGACCATCGTTGGCACAGCATCGACCTTTATTTGAAGCACAAAACACTCAGCTTGGTCCAGGACCGTCTCAAATCCACGTAAAGATCCATCTGAAAAAGAACGATTAGAACATGTGGTTGATGCAAGCGCTATTCTGGTGGCAAGTTGAGAACGAATCTACACCCGGAAGCCTTGAATGTACATCTTAGTCAGGGTCGAAACCATTTATGGAAAGAATGTATCAACAAGGCGAGATCAACATAGCCTCGCCGACAGGAAAACATTAGAGGTTCTTCCTGACGCCCTGGGCCTTAAACGCAGCAGAGATCTCGCCAAAGGCGACGTAGATGGCGTAAAACGGGATGAAGACCCAGAGCATGTTGAAGAAGACGAGGTACACCCAGAGATACATGAAGTTGCTGGTATCGAGGTTGATGTTTCCGGTGAGCCACTCGGGGCAGAAGGTCATGAAGCCTGCGAGGTTGTGTCAGCGGTATCCCGACAATGTCTACTGTTGGGGCGATCTCACCTCCGTATAGCTCTGCCGTCGCGATGATGATCATCCAGATGTTGACCTTCGGGTCACGCTTGGCGATGCAGTAGCAAATCCAGCAGGCCAACGGGCCAGCGCCGAAGACAGTCAGCAGCTCGAGAGAAATCACACCCTGTACCACGCCCACGTTAGCAAAGAACTCTTCTGCTCCTCGTTGTGGGTAGACGCACCAAGTCCGCACCAGCCCATCTCTTGTCAGCCCTGGCGTAGACCATCCAAAGCTGCGCAAAGGGGTTGTCACCGCCTGCCTGCGCGCCATAGATGCGGTCCGAGTATCCGAGATAGTTGGCCGGGGTCGGGTGGTAACCAGAGAGATCGGCGTCGGGGATGTCGGCGAGGGGCGTGTAGGAGAAGAAGCAATGGTAGAGGAAGCTGCCCTCGAGGAAGAAGTGGATCAAGGCATCAAAGGCGTGCCAGATGAAGAGGACGCGATAGCTCGTTGATGTGGTGGGGTGGAGGACGCGGCGGGAGAGGGCGATGGCAACGGAGAGGAGGACGATGGTCGCGCCTAGGGAGACGAGCGTCGTCTGGTCAAACAGATCAGGCGGAAGGCTGGATGCAGTGTTGGACATGCTGGGCAATTCTGTTACGGACGCAATTGGGACGTTGGAAGAGGATTAGGGAGTGTTGAGGTGGCATGCGGAGATGTGTTTGCTGGTCTGGCAATCTGGTGTGACTACGGAAGGCGTGGAATTTCGCGACGCTCAGCTCAATGATCCGTGCGCGGGAGTGAGCTCCCGGTGTGGAGAAAGCTTCAAGCTCTCAGTTCCTTGGTTGGCGGGGATGCAAGCACCAACAGGGATCAACGTTGTAAGTTTATGTCATCACAATGATACCAAATCGATTTGAAAGCCTGCGAAAGACTGCCATGTCAGTTATTCGAATTGCAAGTGCTCACAAAGTGCTCTCTCAATTGTCACAAACAGTGCGAGTCAAAGATATTTAGCAATGTAGTGGCATTAGGACTATGCTAGGTGTAAAGAAAACCCATTCCCAGGTGTCATTGCCTCATCGCTTGCGATTCCTGTTCCTTTCCCAAACGCCAGATCCTTTGATATCCTCCCGCAGTATTTAGGGGTATCATCGAGGGAGGAGCGATTTAGTGCTTGGCGGACTCCTTGTGGACATCGGCCTTGGCCTCGTGGGAAGACTCGTCGAACTTGTCACCGACGGCATCCTTGGCGGCGGAGGCACTGTGAAGTGGAATGTTAGTGATGGTCAGAAGGTTGAATGGTTGAAGATGGAAGCTTACCGGCTGGTGAGGGAAGCGTCGGAGTCCTTGGCGACCTGCTTGTTGGTCTCCTTGGAGGCGGTGGCACCGGCCTGCTGGACAGACTCGGAGACGTAGTTGGCGGCGTTCTTGATGGTATCCATTGTGATGGTTGGGGTTGGGTTGGTTTGGAAGTGTTGTGAAGTTGTTTGATTGAGCTGATTGTTTGTTGTGTGATGAGGAGAGAAAAAAGCTGGGAGAGATGGTGGGATGGAGAGGTTTATATAACAAGTTGGAGGGCCGGTTTGACACCTCGAGGGAAGGAAGCCACCACGCTTCCTGCCGTATCGTGGCCCATTCTTGCCTTCGTGCAGTAAGAAAGGAGGAAGGTACGGTACTTGCCCCGCCAGCCTCAACTTCCAGGTTGCCTGAGTTCAGACAGACTGAAGTCAGAAGGAAGGTACATCACGTCTACCTCGGGCAAGGTGTTGGAATGCCATGCCTTCAGGTATCTGTCAAGAGTCGGGATGCCCCTCTGCCCCTCCCCCTCTTCATTCCTTCCGTTTGCTCGTGCCAACTCGTGCATGTCTCTCCCGGCGCGTGTATTGCCTCCCGGGCTTGCCCAAGTGTGGCTTTAGCGCAGTTTCACACCATCTGGGCAAGGACGCTCAGGGTCTATCATGTGAACTGAAGAAATGGCGTCATAGACTACGAGTTTGCCTCGTCCCAGGGTGCTCACATTTTTGGCGGTTTGCAGTCAGATTCCGATTGCGTGGGAAACCGCCCCGGGAGCCAACGGGAAGTGCCATGTCAACTTTAGAACGCCCGAAAATGGCCCCATGCGGAGCTTCTATTCGTTTGGGTGCAAGTCGCAGCAGCCACGGTACAGTGTATGGAGCTCCTGAAGCTACCTGCATCTGGAGCTGCGGAGCTGCAGAGCTCCTCCTGCCTGCGTTTGGTCTCTGTCTGGTGGAAGCTGTGTATGCCGCCAAGATGACGTCACGAGCACCTTTGCAGACAGGCACGGACGATACGCGGTGCTAGGAAGGCGCTAACGTCATAGTGTCCCCGCGTCGACTGAGGCTGGGCGGCGGGGTTATCTTCTTACCTCTGGTACGGATACTCCGTACCAATAATCCACCGGGCAGTCGCGTTTGCGGTGGACATGCCACATGAAAAGATCACTGTCGCGTAATGATATCCGGCAAAATACGTCAGCCTGTCGATTGCCCCCAAATGCCCAGCCAACCAGCCCGTGCACAACACACAGGGGTGCCATGGGTCTCGTCAGGAGGATGGCATTTTTGCAAATCTCGATCTTGTCGTTGGTTCCCCACCCTTTTGGGACACCACTTTCCATGAATGGAGCACCTCCACATTCTGATAGGAGCCTCTCACAAAGCTTCCAGCCACAGTGGATTGCACAATGGAGGCAAAGCTAAGCAGACACACCACCGACACGCTCAGCTCAGAAAGCAGCTGAAGCATCATCTCAACTGATGGGCACGGGCCAGGTGTCGACTGGGGTACCTTGAGCCGGAAGTCCTCTGATTGGGCCTGTCATCAGAGAGCTCCTGTCTGATGACGCACTGGCAGGTAGCTTCACGCTTTGGGAGGTGGAAGGACCGTTCTGGACCGCACAAAGCGTACGCAGAGGAAATCAGACCCATCCCTTCGCCTCCAGCCTGCCTGCCTCTAACCTCAATATGCTCCAACCTGCTGCCTCCTGCCCGTCCATCGAGTCCGCGTCCCCGTCCGCCCTCTGGATGCGGCAAGACGCGGGTTTCAATTGTTCAAAGGCGCAGCCCGGCAAATTCCCGCCCCGTCAGATGATTGTTTCCCGATTCGCCCATCGACACAACAACGCCTGTATGTCATCGAGATCTACGCCTGGCTTCACGATGACTGGATACCCAGCAACATTCAGCAAACACCTGTGATGATTCGCTCAAGTCCACGGACCTTCTGCTCCGGCTCACGGCGGCTGAACCTCCCCATAAACGTATTGGGATTCTTTCGTTGCGTCTCATGTGATGCTCAGAGGCCCAGCTTTGCCCACAGATGGACGAATACGACGCGAGGAAACGGACGATGCATTTCCAAACACAGCAAGTCCTCTTCATGTCTGACGGAGATGCTGCTTGGCTGCGTACAGCAGACACCTTGGTGCGATTGTCTCAAGTCGACACCACGTTTGACAAAACGCCTTCATCATAGCATGCGGAACTTTCGCCGGGCCCCGCATGCCCACAGTCCACTTTCGACTTCATTCAGGACTTTCGCCGACACAGTAGTCTCGTGCCCCTCGCGACGTTTGCCTCCTCCAAGATATCGCTCGTACCGCCTTCATCTAACCGACTTTCCGGGCTGAAAACATCCCACGCAAAATACGTCACCAACACGACACACAGAAAACCCGTCGACGCCTCTCATCCTCTCGCAGTCGATCTCCCTCGGACCCTGGAAGGGATCTGGATGCAAGCTGCCCCTCATCTGCCCCTCACATAGCATTCCTTTTTGCGAGACACTATGCATATCCCGCATTCCGCATGGACATTCCACACATTAAGGTCCTGTCAATCAGCGGGTCCGGTGTTAGTTCGGTGCGGGAAACTCAGCCTCGGTGTCTCGTCTGACCCCGCCGCTAGAGCTATACCGTCAAGCTTTTGTTGAGCTCCCAAGTGCCTGAGCTTGAGCTTGGGAGCTCTACTGATACCGTTGTTTACAATGCCAGTCACTCAGCCTCCGACACGGCTCCTCAGCCCGAATAAACCGGTCAGCCCATGTTGTCAGGCTGGTCCCGAACATGAGATTGCGGCTGCGTTCCGAGGCTTCGAACAGTCTCTTGAGTACGCCCGCGCCGCGTGCCTCATTGTCAATGCAGGCCTCGGCCCTCCCGAGGCCTCGTGGGCACACGACACTATGCAGTAGATCGACTGGTCCGTGCAAAGCAAAAAGAATACGACGGTATCAATAGCTCAGGAGAATTGCGGAATGACGCCTCGATCGCGGGACGCTAAGGCTTGCCTGGCGCGCCCCGCCTGCCAGCTTGCTCCGTGCAGCGATTCCTACCGCCCCTGATGATCGATGCTACGGTTGGGCATCGACCGTATCGGCGGGTAAAACCACGGCCGCTGCGGCATCCGGACCTCGTCGGCGTCGAATGGTAACAGTAAGCCACAGTTGGCCGAGTGGCCCGATCTCATCTCACCGCCTCGGCGGCCTTGCAAGCAGATGAGGGGTAGGCATTGCTTCGGCAACGATATTTCTTTTTCTGAGCAAGTTACACGGAGATCGTTTGAGACAACATCAGCACCAAGAGCTAAAGTGAGGCTCCAAACGAGGGGCAAAAGAGGCCCCCTGCAGCTGTGGTCTTAGGGACATGAAGCCATCATTGGCTCCATCAGGTGTTAAGCTTGACAAGACACCTTGGCAGACAGCCTCGATCTCAAAACCACAGCACGATCTTCGACTAACAGTGTGAATGGAGATTAACATTCAGGATTTCCGTCTACTACCACTGGAATTAGGACTACTGGAGACATGCGCTTCGCAAGAATGCGACGTTGGAGAAACCGCATGCAGGAATACGGCGTTCTGAATCACATATCATGCAGATGGACCTTCGTCGGCGGGGTCAATAGACGGGTGATCTCCGCATGCACGTCTCTCAATGCCTGCAAGACATGCAAGTCTTCTGCGTGCATGGCAGCATTTGCCGTAAAGGGTTTCCAGGGCCACTCGTCGCTCTTGCACTTGTCCCAGCCCGATAGGGTGCCGTCGGCGGCCACGGCGGGATGCGGCGGTACGACGCCCTTTTGCAGGTAATCGCGTATCTTTGTCACGGCGCAGACCGAAACCGAGGCCAAAGTGCAATGGCCCTCGGTTTGGAGCTCAAAAACCCCGGCGTTGACAAAGTTTTGGGACATGTCGACTGCAGAGCCGAGGGGGGTTACCGGGTCGTGGGTGTTGCCCACGAAGAGGATGGGGAACGAGGTGTTCACGGGGTCCGGACTATGCAAGTTTGCGTCCCAGTCTGGGCTTGAGAACCTGGCCTCAATGTCCCAGCCCTCGCAGGACATCATGATGGACATGAGCTGCCACATAGTCAGTATCATGGCCCCATGAGAAAGAGAGGAGTGGACCTACGACGTCGGCGAAGGATGTGTACTCTGAGGTTCTCTTGAACACGCCTTCCAAAGTATCGTTTCGCTGGACGAGAAACAGTACCATCAGCACCTTGAATTCTTGATTCTGTCATAGCCGCACTGGTACTCACCTTAACCCGTTGGTCACTGCAACTAATGGCAGCTTGGGCCTCGCTCACATCAAGGGCAGGCGGCATCTGGAACTCTGGACTGCACATGGGTATCAAGTCTCCAGCGTTGACGTAGTTGGAGAGGTCGGCCTCGATGTATACACGATTGAGTAGGTCGGCAATGAGGGGGAAGAGCATCATCGGTGCATACAAGGCTTGGAAGATGGTCTTCTTAATGTCGGACTCCATGAGAATGACGGGAATAGTAGTGTAGGAGGGGATGACAGTGACCGGATCGGCCCGCAGCTTTGCCATGACTTCGTCGTATCGTGTCTTGATGTCGTCTGCCGTGTCACCCTTGCGGAAGAAGTAACACCTCTCTCCGGCGAGATGGCAGTAGTAGAAGAACTTGTCCACAATGGCGTCCGAGTCTCTCATGGTCGACACCCACCATGTCTGCCATTGCTCAGTATGTATCACAGCCAGACGTAGGACCTATGAGACTTACAGGCTCGTCGTAAACGCGGGTGTCCACAACACCGTCCAGGATGAGTCGGCCTACAGAATCGGCTGTACAGCGAAGCCGTCAGTCACGGCTAGACACAGGTCACAGTAAAGATGCGAGGGTGCGTACGATACATGGCAGCAAAGGTCTGCCCGATGAAGGTGCCGTAGCTGAAGCCCCAGTATACAAGCTTCCGCTTCGTAGAAGGCGGCGCAGCCTCACTCGGCGACCGCAACCTAGCCCCATGAGAAACAGTCTCGAAGCCATTCTCGTCAAGCCAGTCGTCATGAGCTTCCACGATGCTCTTGATATCAGCCGCCACGTTTGGCGTGCCCATGTACCTGAAAGCGCTGTCCTCGCCGTCCTTCCTCGAACACAGCTTCGACACTGCCCTGGCGCGG